CTGTATCTCACTGTGTGTGTGTGTGTGTGCCTGTATCTCACTGTGTGTGTGTGTGTGCCTGCATTTCACTGTGTGTGTGTGTGTGCCTGTATCTCACTGTGTGTGTGTGCCTGTATCTCACTGTGTGTGTGTGCCTGCATTTCACTGTGTGTGTGTGTGCCTGTATCTCACTGTGTGTGTGTGTGTGCCTGTATCTCACTGTGTGTGTGTGTGCCTGTATCTCACTGTGTGTGTGTGTGCCTGTATCTCACTGTGTGTGTGTGTGTGTCTGTATCTCACTGTGTGTGTGTGTGTGTGTGTCTCGCTCGCCGTGTGCATGTGGGTCTCTATTTCACTGTGTGTGTGTGTGTCTCTCACTGTGTGTGGGTCTCTGTCTCAGTGTGTGTCTGTGATACTGTATGTATCTGTCACTCTGTGGTAGGAATCTGTGGTGCTCTGTGTCTGTGTGTGGTTAAGCTGTGTATGTGTCTCACAGTGTGAGTGCCATCTGGACCTGTAAATTTGTATCGCTGTGTTTCTGACTGGATCAGAATCTATGCCTTGGGGGTGGGGTATGAGTTGGGGGGTCTCGTTTTTTGTGAGACAGAGGTCTCCCACTGATTTTATTAATGGATGTGGTGTGTGGGGGGTGGAGGGTTTGTTTGCAACTTGGGGAACCGTTTAATTTTATGTATATAGACGTCCGTATAAACTGGGTGTCGACCTGTACTTATTTTTTAAAATAAGTTACATTTGCTTTCTTCGAATGCTTTTTAATTAAATAGGCAGAAAGCGACGGTTCAAAAATGAATGTGGGAATGGATATTTTAATAAATAAATAATAAGCCTTGCATTTGATATCGCGCCTTATCGCGTTTTCGAGACGTTTCAAAGTGCTTCACAAAGCAAAGTGAAGTGACTGTATTTTGTGGACGAAACTGAGCGTTTGCTCTTGTAGTTGTAAAAGTAAATATGTTTACTTTTACTTGGTAAGTTCCGATGGAAGCTTTTTATTTGTTTTGCAATAACAACACCACGTGCAATGGTGGATCCATTATAGTTCTTCCTCTCTTCACCCTCCCTCCCTTCTTCCCTCTCCGCGTACTGATCAGATTTAAATCCTGTTACGCTTGTTTACCATTTTTGTTCGGGTAAGCTACGGGCGAACGCTGCTGTTTTTTTTTAAAAAAATTGTATTTAACGATGCTTAAGTACTTGAGCCTTATCCCCGCGAGTGTCTCAAATCCTGCAGCAGAAACATAAACAATGTTACACGTGGTACAGAGAGGTTTGTGTTCCAGTTCTGCTTTTATTAACGCCCACAGTAGGAATGCTGGCAACAGCTATTCCTCACCTCCCCTGCCGCTGCAAAATCTTGCTCTTAAAAGGTAAGGAGCGGTATTAACGTGGAGGCGATAGGGGGGGGAAAAAGGTGGAATCGATTGAGGTTTGGAAAAACGTCTTAATAACTTGGTCATTCAATCCATGACTGTTTGTGGGACACTGCTGTGCACAATCGGCTGCTGCGTCTCGCCCACAACATATGATTCATTAACTTTGCCGTGTGTCCTGTGAAGCGCTTTGAGACGTCTCGACAACGTAATAAGGTGCTATGTCAAACGCAGCTATTTTTATCTAAAATAAATCCAGCATCTGAAAAGACACAATTACGGCTGTGGGCCTCTGCCCCTCCTCCGTCAGCTCAGTGTTCCTGAGCGCAGTAATAACTCCCTTCTAACCGACGCGACCTAATGCAGAGTGAACTTTGTTTGGTTCACAATGGTCTCCGAGCTTTCGGTGTGTGGGCGTGCAGGCCTCGGGATTGGAGCAGAAATGAAGATCGCAGGGATTTATTTTTGTACACACGAAACTCAGCCATTTTCTGTTCGCTTCTCGGACTGCTCTGTGCTGTGTGCTCCAGGGAGAGGCGGGGCCGCTCACATCCTGTCTTGTGCTTTCATTCACGGCAACTGTGGGGGGGGTGGGGGGTGGCTGGCAGGTTCGCTTACCCCGGGAGCTGACCGTGGGGCCGCCTGACTCCAATAAAAGGCATTGCCAGCTGGATGCTGAAGTATCCCGGGGCTTTCAAGGCTCGGGCAGCTCCGAAATGACTCCCAAACCCGGCTAGTGCTGCAATGAATGACTATAATGGAGTCCTGGCAGGACGAATCCTTGGGCAAATTTCCTTACTCCACACGCCTGATGATAATCCCTCAAGAAAAAAAAAGACGTGAAAAGTGCGATATCAAATGCAAGGATTATTATTATTATTATAATAATTTGACACATTTGATACAGCGCCTTATCACGGCTTCGAGACGTCTCAAAACGCTTCACAGGATATACTGTAAAGTGAATTGATTGTATTTTGTGGGCGAAACGCGGCAGCCGATTCCGCACAGCAGTGACCCGCAAACAGTCGTGGATTCAGTGACCAAATTATTATTGTTATTTTTTAAAGGGACCCCAGAAAAGTGATCTGCCAATCTACTAATAACAAGTTCCTACTTACTGCTAGGTAAACAGAGGCATGTGGAGTAAGGAAACTTTTTTTCTGAAGCTGCTTTGAGAGGTTTAAAATGCTACGGTTCTGTGAGAGTACATTTCATTCAGTATATGTCAATGTATTGAGCATTTTTTTTAGGCAAATGGAAATTTGAAAATACTTTCACGTCTTCTCGCTGCCCTCGATATTTCTTAAAGCATATAAGCATGACTACTTTATTCAGCTATCTCACACGAGCATCGGGAGGGAATAAGAGGAACTGGGCATTTAGTAATGGCATGTGTTCAGATTCTGTTCAGCTGGGGGGGAACGGTGTTTTGTGGGCTGCGTATCGCCTTGAGAACATGCTTCAAGTCGTTATTCTGAACCGTTAAGTTAAGAATTCTGCTTGGGTCTGAACTGACTACAATTCCAATTCTATCTTATGAATAACGGTTTAGATTGATAACTGATCAGTCTTATCGTCCTGGGCCTCATTTACTGAGCAATGCTTTAGAAAGCCTGTTTAGAGACTGGGATTAATTTACTTGAGAAATTCATTGAGAAATAACTCTGCTTTGGCTCTTGCCACGGGATAAACTTCACCAAAGGAGCCATTTGATTATGTTTTATCTTAAAAAGTGAGCTTTTTTTTTTCTATTGCTTAGTGCAGTTGGAGATAAGGAATGTGTTCACATATTTGTAAGCAGAGTTTTGCTTGAACTCTGGCAAACAATTATGTATTATTGCCTTCGCTACAACACCAAGTCTAGGGTAGGTATTGTAACTTATTGCGGCTGCTTTGTGCAGATCTTGTTTTGTCTGTTGCTTAAAGTCTGTGCTTTAGAGCTACTTACTGAGAACAGAAAGGGATAGCTCCGTGTGTATTTGAACACTGGCACTTAAATACTATGACCAGCTAGAAGTAATGGTTGACATACCAAAACAGGGAAAGATTTTTTTTTTGGTCTAACTTGTAGAGTAAATCTTAATTGATTGTTGATATTCAATTTGCATTGGATATTAATTTGCACCGAGTTTTGACCCCACAATGTTCTTCGTAACAAAATAGTTGATGATCCATTACAGACTATTTAATTCAGCCCAAGCTAATCATAATCGTTAGAGTAGACAGTGTTTTGCCTGCCAACAGATGCAGATGATGACATGGCATCACTTTGGTGCCTTTCTTTGGACTCATAGCTGATGGCTTCTCATTGAGTGAGGTGCTGGCAGTTGTCGCGATTCTTCTGTCAATGGATCAGTAATTTAAATGACTTCTAACATGGTACGAATGTGCAACTGCATTGCTACGTATCTCGCAGTCTGAGGCTCATTTAAAAGTCTTTCTCTTTTTCCCAGAAAATATATCCTTTCTTCAGGAGCTCCTATTTTAATGCTGCTTATATCACAACAACCCTTTATCGCTATGTTTACCTTGTGTTGATGGCCACAATTTTGGTAGCAATGCTGTAAGATAAATCACATGGTGCTACTTCCTCTTGAGGACCGGAGACCAGTGTGGTTTTTAATCTCCATAGTACTGATGCTCGTTGTTGGTGGCGTTGGACCCGGTTTGTTTTCTGGCTGTTTTCTGACTTACGAAGCTCACTCATTGAAGCGTGGGTGGGTGTAGACACCTTTCCTGTCCAATGACAAGAATTTAAAAGTTGTATTTCGACTTTGAAACAAACTGAACTCTTGTTTCTCAGCTGCTGTGCTGTGGGGAACACTCCCTACAGTGTAAACAGCAAATTCCAGAGCACTGGTCAATTCCAAACTCTGTCTAGTTAAAGCGTTTGCAATAAGAACAGTGCCAAACCAAGAAGTTGTAGTCTACTTGCTGAATATGTTAACTATTAGCATTAATGCACGGAATTAATTGGGTGAGATTCTGCCTTGCAAATCATTCTAAACTGAGAAGGAAAAGGCAGAAGGATTGGAGATGGTGACATTCTTGCCTCGAGTACGTTTTAATGATGGATCACATTTGCTTACCCAAAACCTTCTTGTGAGTCAGATGATCAAAAATGAGTTGAACAACGAAGCAGTCTTTAGTGTGGCATTTCCCCATTTTGATTTCTTCAATCATAGCTGCTTTCTAATTTTCTCCCTCAGTTGGCACACTGGGTGAATTGGCATAGTTGGCATTAGTGGTGTAGTTGTGGTTTCATCTGTGGTACAGCGCTCACAGAAAGCTCATTAACTGCATTCCAAGATGCAAGTACTCCATGTCAATATATTTTATAAAGCTGAGACGCCCATCTCATCCGCTCTGCTTTGTGGCAGGTCTGTTGCTAACTGAGCTATTTTCCTGTGCCCTTTAGGCTCCCCCTAAAAGTACACATTTTATTGTACTTTTACCATACAATGCTGCACACTGTTAACCTAATGGTTAAACTTGCCATTTCAGAACTTGACAACAGCACTGGTGATATGTTGTCTGGCGATGACGATCAGACTGAAGCTGTTATGATACCAAGTGAAATCAATGGAAACTGGACACCGCAAGAGAAGTCCCTTCATGAAGCTCGGATCAAGGCGAAGGCCAAGAGGCGTTTGAGGAAGAACTCGTCTCGGGATTCTGGACGAGGAGATTCTCTCAGTGACAATGGGGAGAATAGCAGGAGTACTGTTCCCACCAGCCCCAAAGGGAAATTGATGGACAGAAAGTCACGGATGGGGAAAGGGAGAGGACTGCCCAAAAAAGGCAAGTACGAGTGGAATTAAGCTGAAGGGTATTTTTCTGGCGGAAGTTAGTTCTGTCCAGGTTTCAGCGCTCGTTTTCTGCAGCAAACCACATTGAGGCAAAGGATCTGGGTCAAGTATAAGAGGTCTGAAGTTCTGTTATGTTAATGCTGTTTTGTTAATACTGTATTTAGCTTTGCATTGACGTGAACTGACTATCCTGGTTGACCAGGTCCAAAGGTCTTCTTCCTATGGATTAATCGCATTGTAGGAATAGGTGAACAAACGATGGAGGATGGCTGTAGATGTTACTGGTCTTGTACCTGAAAGAGAGACTTTGGGTTTGGATGGACGACTTCTCTATTGTACCCTCTGTGGATTCTTGAACTCTGATACCTGGTCCACTAATACTTTTTAGAAAAGAAATTTAAACGACAATTGTATTGCAAGGTTTGCAATCCAGTGAATAAAGGGTTAGTAAAGTGGCCTGGAGGAGGAGCACTTTGTGTTGAATGTACTTTTATATGCTCTGCTGCTGCTCCACAGTCTTTGGTTCAACTCATGGCTACCAATAATCTTGCTTTGAATGCCTATTCTGAAGCCAGTTACAGAATGACTATTGGGAGCAGAGTTTCTGGGCTGACAATCTGTGGTTGTTGGCAAGAATTGCATGTTGACCAGGAACAATTTGCTGTTTACATTTCAGGAGCATTTGGAAGCGACATTTGCTTTGTAATATAGCAATTCGCTTTGTCCATATAGACTCAACGTACACTCAAATCAAAACGTTGACCAAGGAAGTTATCTGTTTGTTTAAAAAAAATAAACACATTGCTGTGATGGATTTTAGGACGGAACAGTTCATGATTGAGGCAATCAAAGGATGCAATCAGATTGATGGAGCTTCAATATTAACTTGTTTACTTCTCTGTACAGTACTTTGACACAAAACAAGTGTACCGCCCACTATTGTGGGATTAGCTGTTCTTTTAGGTTCATGAAATTTTCACACCTACTTAACCATTGACATTCATTTAGAAAGTAGAGTTTCTGCTGGAGACAAGAACACTTTCAGTTGTTTCATATAAATGAATGAGAAGACCAACTTCAGGGAAAACTCATCTACTCTTTCCCACTGTGTCCAAAATTGTACCTGAATCCACAGCTTATGTTGCATACCCTGTTTCCATTTGCCACAATTCACTTCAATGTGGTCACTATGAGTGAGAGTCCTAATTATGGGTGGTTTTGTGCCTTGGACCTTACCCTCTTTAAGATGTCACTTTAAGGTAACCATGTTTTACTGAGAGTGCAAAAATGAATAGTTTCAATGGAATTATTGACTCACTGTTCAATACAACCACTGGACTTGTGGCCTGATGTCGTAAGATCTTGAGTTGATGCATGTCAGTAAATTGGGAGAGTGTATCTTTGTTTACTGAGATAATGTGTTCCAGGCTATCAGGTCAATTAAACAAGTTGCCAACTATTGGTTTAAATCGCTCCTAAAAACTGGATGAAAGGAGAAGCCTAATATTTGCTTCCCATTTCAGCTTCAAGGTTGTAAGACCCTGACTGGCAGCTGTAGAATAATAATAATCCTTGCATTTAATATAGCGCCTTATCACATCTGCGAGACGTATCAAAGTGCTTCACAAAATAAGAACATAAGAAATAGGAGAAGGAGTAGGCCATTCGGTCCCTTGAGCCTGCCCCGCCATTTAATAAGATCTTGGCTGATCTTCTAACCTAATTCCATTTACCCGCCCTATCCCCATATCCCTTAATCCCTTTAGTTTTTAAAAATCTATCGATCTCCGTCTTGAATATGTTTGTACTGTAAAGTGAATTGTCTGTATGCTTTGTGGGCGAATCGCAGCAGCCAATTGCGCACAGCAGTGTCCCACAAACAGTCGTGATTGAGTGACCAAATTATTATTTTACTAAAAAAAATCTAAGGGATTTTTATCCCGGAAAAACGATCCGCCAGTCGACTAACAGCTGGGTTCCTACGTGCTGGTAAACAGAATGCAAATCATACAACCAATACGTTGCTTTGCAGCCAACAAATTACTTTGTAAAACGACAGAAGTTTGTAAAGGATATGAGCTACACTGCGCCAGTCAGTCAGCAAAGAGAACTCCATTGTTGCATGTGAAACCATTGGCATCAGAATATTATCCTCACATTCTTGTAAAGCACCATTTAACATTTGACCTGCTTCACCACTATTTTTGTAAAGAATTCTTACAGTATTATCAAAGCAGTGTGCTTTTACTGAAATTGGTTTGTGGACATAAGCAGCCACGTCAGTGAAACCCAGTTGTCATTTTGCATTTCTCTGTGCCTAATCGATTGCCCACGACTGCACAGGGCGTTTAGTTCATTATTTGTGGACCTTTTTGTTATCTCTTGCTATGGTATGTGCCATAACAACAACGACTTGCATTTATATAGCGGCCTTTGTGCCGGACGGTATCTCAGAGCGCTCAAACGAGTAATACTTTGAGATTAAGTATTCTTTTTGTGTAACAAAAAAAAATTAAGTTCTGCTGTTAACTCACTTTTTAAACTTGCTGCAAGTGCACTTCTATTGTGGTTTTGTCCTTTTGAAACTATGGGGAATTGTTCGGGGAGAAAAATCTTCCATTTTTTGGAAAATTAGATTGTGCTGTGTGTAACTTTTTACTATGTTTTTTTTAAAAGTAGTGTTCATGACGATTTGATTGCAGCCAAATAAAAAATAACAAAATATTTCATGTTGAACCCAGAGACTTTATACACCTTTACATTGCTTGACCAAACTGAGGTTTGTAAGTTTGGTTTCATTGAACAATACTCTGCTTTTGGGATTCTGATTTTATTCTTCGCCTCTTGTTTCCTTATAGCTAATTGTAAGTTAATTATAGTGCAATCTGCATTACTTGTATAGTTAAAATAAAATAAGCAAAGCACTTGATTTTTTAAAACACTAAAAGCACTTTTTTTTATGGTGTGCATGCAATTGTATGGTGATTGCATTGAATAAAGTGAATGCTCGCACTTTGAAGTTGGGAGGAAAGCAAGCATTCAAAACATGCCAGTTAATCCACGCTGCACATCAAGTGTCCCTTAGCTTTCTATTATTATTATAATATTGTTTTATTATTATTATAAAATGCTCAAATATTGGCTCGCATTGAAATACTTTAGATCTATTCTGTTTAGAGATTCAATAGTAAATATCAAGAGGTGCCGCTGCCTTAAATGAAGAATTACGAACTTCTCACCTGAACCAATGAGTGTACATTCTATTCTCATTATGTCCTCTTGTTTAATCATAATTTTTTAAAAAAAAACGCTTGAATTGTGTTGGCAGGTGGAGCAGGAGGTAAGGGTGTCTGGGGGACACCTGGGGAGGTGTACGATGTGGAGGAAGTGGATGTTCGAGATCCCAATTATGATGAGGATCAGGTGAGTAGATATCTGGCATTGGTGTCTAACGGAATCTTTCTTGAGTTCTGTGGCAGGTTAGGGTCGAAATAAACAACCTGTTTTTCCAATGGTATTTGTCCGTGCCTTTTTTTTAAAAAAAAAACTTTAGTTTTGAGCTCTCTTATTTCTTTGGATAATATAATTCTTGCATGTGATACAGCGCCTTATCATGTCTTCGAGACATCTCAAAACGCTTCACAGAATATACTGTAAAGTCAATTGACTGTATATTTTGTGTTTATTTTCACAAAGTTGTGACATTTAAACCGCCACAAGCAATTTTATTTGCCATTTGTTTTAAATTTCAAATTGTGTCGCAATGAAATGGAAATACAGGCATCAACATCAGCTTTGTATTTTAATCCCAAAAGGAGAGCTGTATTTATGAAACTGTGGTTCTACCCCTCGATGAAGGAGCTTTCCAGAAAACCGTGACTCCGATTGTACAAGAATACTTTGAACATGGAGACACTAATGAAGTTCTGGTACGTTTTCAATTCATTACTGATTTCAATCTAATTGAACGCAAGTCTTGGAAATCTGTTCCCATGTGTTCATTTTAAAGCTAGTTTAAGCTATAATAATTTAAGCATGTAATCCCCCCAGAGAGATGGTAATGCAGAGTGGATCTGTTTTGCCACCAGTGAGCCTGAACCATGTGTGTTAAATTGTGGTGCAGTTATACTTTGGCTATTTACAGTTGATGATATTTTAGAGAATTCAGGTCTTAAATCCTCTAGTTCCAGCAGGGTACACAGACAAAGCAGGAAGTTCTGCAACCACCAAATGGGTGGAGAAACTAGCTGCAGATGTGTTAGCTTCACCATGCCTGAAAACTGGAAGCTGTTCTACTCCCAACCCTCCCTTCCCAGCCACAGTGGATTTTGGAAGATAATACTAATCCAATCCCGCTAGGGTGGTCCCTGAGAGCTGCTCATTATAAGTTAGACTGGAATTTGAAAAAGCTCCCTTTTCATTCCAGAGCTGCTGCCAGTAATAATGTCCTTATGCATTGAAACTGAACTACTGTATTTAATTCAAGCTAGTTTGCTGAAAATTGCAACAGGCCTATTTACAGATCTTGTCGATTTTAGAGTTCAGCTTAACATGTAGCCTGGCGCAGCCTATGAATATTTTGGAGCTCAAACGACACAAGTCGTAGCCAATTCTTTCCAGCTTCTCCTTCCAAACTTAGTAACAATTCAGGCCTACCTTGAGAGAGTCCGAGATAAAACGACCTGGGTCACAATTCAGTCATTTAATCAGTCCTTGAAGAAAACTGTTCTTACATTTGGAAGACAAGAGGGGGGACACCCATAAAATGTTGCATTCAAAGTTAAAATAGGCAGCTGAAATCCAGTCTAAATTAAAACCACATGTCATGTGATTACATTACACCACATGTGCTCCACAACTGGTGGGAGTTTTTCATATTTCCATATTTGTAGATGACATTTATTCTTTGTTCCATCAGTCTCAGTGCCGCAAGCTCAAGCTCTCTCCAAAATGTAATTAAATTAAATAATTTACAACACTTGTTTCAACTGTGATACCAACATGAGTAGCTCAGTTTGCAATAATTCCAAAAGGCTTGACATTTTGCAGTGTCTTTGCACTCAAGTGCAAGTCCCACTGGTCTTCAATACTATACTGCAGGGTGCCATTTCACTGTTGTAATAAGCCTTCCATATTTGGTGGTATTCTTACACTTGTTCTGTGAACTGTGTATTTTATCTGCACATAATGATTAATGAATTTCAATGAGATTTCTATATACTGACTTGTTGGAGGTGCTGTAATGAGACATTAAATCTGAGTGCTGTCAGCCTGTTTAGGTTGATCAAGATTCCATGGCACTTTCAAAAATAGAAGGGAGTTTCTCCCAGCGTCCTGGCTAACAATTCCCAATATCATCATTCTCAATGTGGCTGTTTGCGGTACATTGCTGTGTTTGCCTACAAAATATGGTGAAGACCTTTGAGGTGCTCTCCCAACATGAAAGCATTGTAATCAAAGCAAGGATTATTATTATTGATTGTTATTCAGAGATCTTTTAACATCCAGTTGAACAGGCAGTGTCTAGACATGGGGATCTTCACATTGATCATAAATACTGTGAATTGTCCCTCATAACTAACTTCCTTGTCTTTTAGTTGCAATGTGTAGTTTCAAAATGAAATTTATCACACTAGCTGAATTCATACACAGTAAATTCATAACAGTTACAAAGTTAAGTGAAGTGTTAAAAGAAGGTTTCTGGGTATTTGTTTTAAGGTGACATCTGATAGATGAATTACAATATTGAACCATGTTAATAATTTCTTAACTCCTTTTATTTCTCTCGCTCGGCTTATAAACGTGTTGACGTATTCTCGCTGCTTGTTTTGTAGGAACTGCTGAACAACTTGAACCTTGGTGGAATGAAGTGCAGTGTGCCAATGCTAGCAGTGTCACTGGCTTTGGAGGGGAAGGCCAGTCACCGTGAGCTCACATCCAGGCTTCTGTCTGATCTCTGTGGGAAAGTCCTTACCACGGGTGATGTGGAAAAATCCTTTGATATGCTGCTGAAAGAGTTGCCAGAACTAGCCTTAGACACTCCTGGAGCGCCACAGGTCGGTGGCTCAGATGTTGTGCTTGTTACTTGATGTGCTTTAAGCCTGATGTTTCAACATCCAATAATCATTCCCTCGCTTTCCCCAACCCATTTTGGGCTCCTGCAACCGACATTAATAACCCACCACCACCAACAACTTGCATTTATACAGTGCTCTTCATGTAGGGTAGCGTCCCGAAGTGCTTGACAGTGGCGGGGTCTGACACTGAGGGAGTGGGGAGGTGACCGTAAGCACGATCAAAACGGAAGGTCTTCAGGCGGGATTTGAAAGTGGAGTGGGAGGGATTGAGCGAGAGCTCCAGAGTTTCAGGGCGTAGTGGCTAAAGGCATGGCCACCAAAGGTGGAGAGGAGAACATGGGGTTCAGTGAAGGGGGGTTATCTTTCCTACATCTCTTGCTCTGTGGCCAACCAGTTTTCCCTCATGGTCACTGTATACTGGAGTATTGTTTTCCCACCTTTCCTGTTGAGTCAAGGTTTGAGTAAGTGCTCAAATCTTTTCTGGTAACTTCCTCAAATCTTGCAGCCATTCCTTTGTGAAACTGAGCAGTAAGTTGGTAGACTATTGAATTGTGTGACTGTCAAGGTTATACTCAGTCCTATCTGTACAATAATAATAATAATAATCCTTGCGTTTGATATAGTGCTTTATCACATCTTCGTCTCGATGCGCTTCATAGATTATACTGTAAAGTGAATTGACTATAAATCAGCCCAGACTACTAATTGAAGCTGCGACTTTCCTGGTCAGTGTGGTGCAGTTTAACACAAGGCAGTTGTTTATCTAAATCACCGACAGCTGGAAGCACGATCAAAAAGGAAAATCTTCAGGTGAGATTTGAAAGTGGGGTGGGAAGGGGCAAGGCGGAGGGATTAAGGGAGAGAGTTCCAGAGGTACGGGGTGTAAAGACTGAAGGCACGACCACCGATGGTGGAGCGGACGAGGCACAAACAGGCCACAGTCAATATTGAATAATTGGATCTGAATTTTTCTACTGCTTTTTCATCACACAACTGAGGAAGTGCGCATCTGTAGGTTCAATCGATTGCTTTTGCGTTCTAGAGAATAGTTCTTCCGCAGACTTATTTAATTCTGCTTCTAATACATTGCTTTGGAAGTTGCTGATTTACTCTTTAAGTGAGTGGGATTGTGAAGACTTCCATTTTCAAATAGGAGGCGCTCAGTGCCTCAAAAAGTTATATTGCACTTGTGGATTCAGTGTAGGCACTGCAAGCATGTTAAGGTACTGTCTGTTCCAATGTGAAAAGCCATCAGAGCAGGTTTCTACTGAAGATGTTCTGCTTTATGTGGGTCCCAATTAACTCAGGTGTTCCATAAAATACGGTATAGGTCTTAATAAATCTCGATTGGCGAATTGCTTTTCCAAGGGTAATAATCTCTTCAGAAAACCAAATGTGATCATTCAAACCCCGGCGGTTTGTGGGGCATGAAACGCAGTGCAATTAATTGGCTGTCATGTTTTGCCCATAAAGTATACAGTCAATTCACTTTACAGTATATTCTTTGAAGCTCTTTGAGATATCTCAAAGACGTGATGAGGCGCTATATCAAATGCAAGGATTATTATAATATCAGCATCATTTAGAACCATTCGCTCTCCCCCCCACCCTTACAGATATTAAAGCTAACTAACTTAGCCCTTCTCTTTTCCCTCAAATGCCAATAATGGGCAAAGGTTGCACTTTTCCTTAAGAGAAATATGCTATGGTGAAGAAGCTCCGGGTTTGACTTGTGCCTTCACTTCACCAAGTTATTTCTTTGAATTTGGGATTTACAGTGAATTGCACGGCAGGAACTTGTTGGTAATAGACGAACACAGTTTTTTTGGCAAAGATCTTATAAAGTTGCCATATTTTTGCCTTTTTTTTCGTCTGGAAAGAGAAACAAACATATTATAATTTAAATTATTTGTTTCCCCATACAGCTCGTTGGTCAGTTCATTGCTAGAGCTGTGGCGGATAGAATTTTGTCTGAAGACTACATTGAGAAGCACAAAGGGAAGGTGGACTGCACGATTTCCAGGTATGTGGTTGGTTTCTGTTCTGGAAGATTGGGTACAGTGCATCTTTGATGCAGGCTGCAGTCTAGAAACCATTCAAGCAATCTTATGAGCAGTAGATCTATGGATTTTGAAAGTCTAGCAATATCTGGCCTAAAACTTTAAGCTAATAACAGGAAGTGCCTAAGACTCTCTGACAATAACAGGATGTGATTCATTCTAACCTGGGGGGACTCTGCTCCAACGCCTTCTACTTCCTCAGGTGCCTGGGGAGATGTGTTTTCCAACAGTAATGGTGACTTACACTATCCTGTAATGAATGTCATTCATTACATTTTGGTATCAACAATTTGGCTTCATTCAACTTTCTGCCACTGTAGCAGACTGATTGCAGCAATCAGAGCTGAACGATGGCCGAAAGCTCCAATTCCTTCCCCTTTCTGGCATTCACCGAGGTGAAGTTGGAGGCTGGCAGGTCAAAAGGATGAACAACTGAGAAATTTGATCATTTCACACAACCATCACTGATCATTACACTGATAAACAAAAGGCAGGCATTTTGAGTTATGATTAAAAACCAATACACAGGTGCAGATGATAATAATCCTTGCATTTGTTATCGGGTCTTATCATGTCTTCCAAGACATTTCAAAGCACTTCACAGAATATATTGTAAAGTGTAGTGACTGTGTATTTTGTGGGCGAAACGTGGCAGCCAATTGCGCACAGCTGTGGCTAAATCTGAAGTCCTCTACTAATCTTTGAAAAGCTTTGACAGTGCAACATTCTTTCCCTCTTTCAGGTCTGCATTGGGCAGGGCAACAGTATTACTCAGCATGAAGAGGGGTGGTCTGCGTTTGGAGAATGTGTGGGGAATAGGAGGTGGACAAAGACCCGTTGAGCATCTTTCCCAGGAGGTACACAGTTATAATTCTCAGTTATAATGGTGCTCACTCCACAAAACCCTGGATGATAGGGAGGGAGGAATAAACAAATCATTTATAAAATAATTGTTTTCTAAAAATATTTTAAATTGCAGATTATAGTAAAGACGATTAAATCACTGCTGCAACACTTTCACATTCATGGCTGTGAACATGCTTTAACATCCAGGAGTTCTCAGTTTGTGGTACTTGATGAACTTTTTAACATTTGCTTTTTTTTAATGTAAAGATGTGACGTTTCTATTTGAGACTGGAATTTCTATTGAGCTAACATCTCATAGTGTGACAGTATATGAGTAGGGAGTTGGTTTACTTTTAGTCACCAAGCACATTTTGTGTGAGCTTGTTGCGTACTAAGTGAATGAATCTGTTAGTTGCCGCAGAAAATTTGACCGGACCATTCATCTCCAGCCTTACCTTGACAGATTGACATGTTACTCAAGGAATACCAGCTGTCTGGAGATGTGACTGAGGCTGAACGGTGCCTGCAGGAGCTAGAAGTGCCACACTTTCACCACGAATTTGTTTACAAGGTAAATAAAAAACACAACTCGAGCCCTGCAGATCTGGTCGACACTGTTTTAATAACTGAAATGAGAATTGCAGAGATTCAATGTTTGATATTGAAATTGCCATTTTGTCTCCCATATTACCATATTCTCCACATAACCAAAAGGAGCAAACATTATCAACAATGAGGATGAGGTTCTTTTAAAGTGCCACCTGTCTCAATTTTATGCCCGTATTAATTTTCCAACTTATTGCTGGATGAAATAATAAGCATTTTGGTATGCAGAGTTTACTTTTGTTTTCTTGAGAGCTTGAGCCATTCACAAATATAATTCAGTTTGGGGCCATATGCTCGTAGAACTCCTGGGCTGGCTCTGGTATTAATGGTAACTTCTGGAGTCCTGTGGCTCAGTGGTTAGAGCACTCGCTTTGCAAGCGAGAGACCTGGGTTCAATTCCAGGCAGAGGGCGAAACCTTGGGCAAGTTTCCTTACTCCACACAGAGCCTAATAATAATCCCTCCAAAACCAAAAACAATAATAAATTGGTCATTTTCAATCTACGACTGTTTGTGGGACATTGCTGTGCGCAATTGGCTGCCGCGTTTGCCCACAAATATACAGTCAATTCACTTTACAGTGTACTCTGTGAAGCGCTTTGGGACGTCCTCCCGACGTGAAAAGCGCTATATCAAATGCAAGGATTATTATTATTATTATTATTCTATACCATTCCACCTTCTGTACCATACCACTCCACCTAAAGTGTACTCTGTCTATGAGGCCTTGAGGCATTGATGTAATGGGGCCATCTTAGTCTGAACTTCCTTGTTGTTTAACTGCGAAAACTTCTACCTTCCATCCCTCCTGATCCCAACCCCTGCACATTGGGACATCCTCGCGATGTGAAAAGTGCTTATACAAATGTAATTTGCTTTTGTTTCTGTGATAATAATAATCCTTGCATTTGTTATAGTGCCTTATCACGTCTTTGAGACATCTCAAAGTGCTTCACAGAATATCCTGTTGAGTGAATTGACTGTATATTTTGTGGGTGAAACATGGCAACCAATTGTGCACATCAGTGTTCCACAAACAATCGTGGATTGAGTGATAAATACCAAATTATTTATTTTGAAGGAATTATTCCCGAAAAGCGTTCCGCCAATTGACAAACAACTGGGTTCCTACTTACTGCTAGGTAAAAAGGTGTGTGGAGTAAGGAAACTTGCCCAACGTTTCGCCCTGCTGGGAATCGAACCCAGGTCCTCTCGCTTGTGAGGCGAGTGCTCTAACCATTAAGCTACAGGACTCCACTGTTCTGTTTTACAGGACTACTCCATTGTTAATAATTCTTGCATTTGATATTGCGCTTTATCAAGTTGTCACAATGTCTCAAAGCTTCACAAGATGCACTGTAAAGTGCAGTGACTGTGTTTTGTGGGGGAATGGGACTAATTGGTTAGCTTTTTGTACAATATACATGAAAATTATTTTGATTGAGATTCCATAAAAGGGTGGAGATAACCTGCTATCCAAACTAAAGATCTTGAAAGCTTGGAGCCATTTGGTACTCTTCCAGGTTTTACTGTTTTGTGGCTTGTGTTTACTAGCAAAATTTGAGTCAGATTTCTCTTGCATTAGCCAAAATATTTTGGATCTGAAAGATAACGCGCATAACTATACCAACTACAAACTCATTGTTGGTTTAGTTCCAGGATAATATTTGGAAAGCCAGTTCTCCATTTTTTAGATATCCCGAGCATTACCTCTCCTTATTTGGAAATGGCTTCTCGCATTGTTTAGAACATCGAACTATTATTTTTTTAATCAGGACTTTTCTTTTTAAGAAACACGGCCATCCTCTCAGTTGTTGAAAGCAGCTGTTTGCGAACAGTGATAGCATTTCTAGATTATATTTAATGATGCAGAACTTTTTATTTTGCAGCTTTTGTTTTGTAGAGTGACAGGCAACGTCTGAAGTCTGCTTTTCCTAAAGTACTAAAATACTGCTCACTGTGAGTCGATTTTAATTCTGGTATTCGCTATGTTAATGTTCAGGCTATAGTCATGGTTCTGGAATCAACTGGGGAAACTACCTTCAAAATGATACTGAAGCTGCTTAAGTCTTTGTGGGAATCAACAGTCATTACTCTGGACCAAATGAACAGAGTAAGTATGCCGCCTACTGGACTGAATGTGTGGCGTGATTTTAATGAAGTTTTGCAAGCTATTTGAGCGTTGAACTGTTCCAGCCCGTAACGTGTTCTATGTTTGAATTTAGGGTCTTGAGCTTTGGAACTTAGACAAGTGATTAGCTTGAATTATTCCTTAATCCTTGTAACATTGCCATTAATGTTGCTTTTTTTCCATTCCGTCATAAAAATTTAGTGAAAGAAATATAAAGGACTTGTCTATGAACAAAGGCAGTGATGGTGCGTGACGAACTAATTGTGTGGTGATGTTTTGGAGAATTTTGTTTACCCAGAGAGCTGTTGCGATCTGGAATGCACTGCCTGAAAGGGTGGTGGAAGCAGATTCGATAGTAGCTTTCAGAAGGGAATTAGATAGGTACTTGAAAAGGGCTATGGGGTAAGAGTGGGTAATGGGACTAATTGGATAGCTTTTTCAAAGAGCTGGCACGATGGACCGAATGGCCTCCTTCTGTGGTTGCTGTAAGATTATATGATTCTAAAAATTTGATTCTTGTGCAGTCTCCACTGTCTTGTGGTTCCATTTGTCTTAATCGGAGGTCTTAATCGGAGGATCAGAATTCACACATCGCAAGTTTTAGATGATTAAAGAGATGAATGCTGCTGCCATTTTTAAAGACGAAATGTTCCTTTTTTTCTTTAACAATGCAGGGATTTGAGCGAGTGTACAAGGAGATCCCTGACATTAACCTTGATGTGCCACAGGCGTATACAGTGATGGAACAGTTTGTCGATCAGTGCCTTCAGATGGGGATCATAGTGAAACAGATAAGGGATCTCTGTCCCACCAGGTGAGGAATGTGGAAGTCAGTAAGCCTGTCGATGCTTCATCTGATTATTCTAATATCAGTCCACAGTGACGTTTCATAAATTTCCGCGTTTGTAGGCCTGGCCCAAAGTAGTCTATCCTGTATTAGGAAGATTATAATAGACTAGTAATTGTGTTTGGGATCTTGTAAGGGAACTAGTCTGTTACAGGAGTTCTTACAGTGTTCTCTTTTCCTTTTTCAATTAAACTTAATTTTCGATCTACTGCAACCTGTCAGCCCCTTCTGTTGTCAAACTTCCAACTTGCAAAGTGAGTTAGGTGGAACTGCAGACTGACTTTCTTGAAGCTCATTTAGTGTTGCTCCTTGGACTGAACAGGTAGGAAGGGAGTTTGACTTTAGCTTATTTTACTCCCGTCCCAAGTGGAGACGCCTTACAATACAGCCTGGCAGAAAGTAACTTGGCTTATTTAATGCACAGGGTGAATTGGATTTTTTTTTGATGGGGTCAAACCTCTTTTCTCCTTCACCCCCTTCCCAAAAGTAATAAGTGCGCCTGAAATACTTTGACTGTACAGTGCCAGGCTGTATTAAGTAAATGCTAATCCTATGTGGCAATTGATAAGGTTTTTTAAAAAAATCTCTGCATGTTGAAGTAATAATCCCTTCAAAAATAAATAAATAATTTGGTCTCTCAATCCACGACTGTTTGTGGGACACTGCTGTGCGCTGCCACCTATTGCCCATAAAATATACAGTCGATTCACTTTATAGCATATTTTGTGAAGCGCTTTGAGACATCTCAGAGATGTGATAAGGCGCTATATCAGTTGCAAGGATTATTATAGTCCATTGCGGGGCTTAACATGTAGCTGGCTAAACCAGAAAGCAACAACATTACAAAGGATTATTAACATGAACCACCAGGTGGAAAAGGTTACGAGGGAATCTCTGTGTCCTCTCACTCCTTCAAAATAATTTGCTTCAATTTTTGAGCTTCACTCTTTTTTTTCAAAAAAAATCATGGAAGGAAGCCTACATATGAGGGTGTAAATTTGTGGCTGTAGTGACCAAGTGAGTTATCATTGGAGATCTAGAGGATTCGCAGCAGCAGGCCAAGCCTCGGTTGTAGGGAGGGATGAAATTTTGTTTGATTACCGTTCCAGATCAGGGACTATTTTATGCAAGAGATAGAGGGTGGAGTGAAGTCTGTGACACAACAGATTGTACATGGACTATGGAACATGCAGCAGACTTTATGAACCAGATTAGCTTTTCTGATTCCCCTTTACGTTTGTGTTCCTGCATTTACCCCACTTCGAGTTTAGTTTCTTCTACTTTGAACCCTCCCAAGAAGAAGGAGTGACTTGCATTGTGCCACTTATCTTAAAGATAATTTAATGGTGTAAACTTAGTGGTGTAAACTGAGTCTCCGGAGAGATGAAAATAGTGTAAATAAAAAAAAGTATTTTAGTAATCTGAGAATATTAATTTTTTTTAACATTTTCTTTGCCATGTCAATGATTAAACTTCTTTTTGTGTGTTTTATTAATGTGCAGGTGTTCAAATTATTTTGATTTGTCATGTTTTGCCAATCTGACTTGGATTTCTATGTAAATTCTTACATGTATCTTGCATGCATGTGGTCAAGAATTTTCAAGCAATAGCAAGTATATTAAATCACTTGAAATGTTACTGGAAGTCTGCAGGAACCAAGTCTGACATTTCTTGCACTGAATGACAATTTGTCTGGGATGAATTCTTCTACCTAACTTTCTGTAGAAGGTTTAACAAACCGCAGAATGTCCTACGTCTTAGTCAAGACCAGTCACAGCTGCACTGTTTGTGAAAAGGGCAAAACGGAGGGGTGCTATGAAATAGGAATTTGACGTAAATAAAATTGATAGTTAACTAACCAAAGGCAAGGAAACTTTCACAATCAGAAGTTAATGCTCCACTGAACGCTTCTATGTAATGGCAATTGATGAGTGAATGAGTTAATACTGAAATGACTCTTGTTTGTAAATCACTGGGACTTTGCGGCACACTTTAATTGTGTTTAACTCTTGTCTTTAGGGGACGCAAACGTTTTGTGAGTGAAGGAGATGGTGGACGCTTCAAGTGAAAATGTTTTTGAAAGCGAGCAAGATCTTGTAATCAACAATTTCTTTTTTTGTGCGGTTAACCTTGGATTATAGATTTCTGATCCACATGGTTCACATTACGTGTGAACATCGACCAGGATGGGTTAAATCATTTAAGTATTTTCAGTAAACTTGCTGGGAAAAGGAAACCAAAAAAAAAAGCACTTAATATATGGGGTTTTGATTTTATTTCTTTTGGAAAGGAGGGAGGGGTGAAATGATACCAGTGGGTGCAACATGCTTGTGGGCAATGAAAATAAGCTATTTTAAGGGTATTCGCAAGCAATCTAATCATTCCATGTTCTTGTATAAACTTCACTGCCACACCTTTCTGAATACTGTGGTTTTATAAATGACTGGTTTGAATACAAAACTGTATGAATTGGGTTATACATGCTGTGTATAATGGCTCTCCCTTCTTGGCTGCTCATGCTACAAATGCAATGCTTTAAGCAGTTTTAAAAAGAAAAGCTGGACTGGTATCTTGTATCTGTGCATTTTCAGCAGAATGTATTAAATGTTCAATTGGTTTATGGTACAAGTGACTTTTGGCAGTAACCATTTAATTTTGAAGTTGGGAAATGACAATGGATGTACTTTTGGTCCATGCAGAAAGTGAAAATCAATAAAGTTGGTTTATGAAGCATTAACATCTTCCCTTTTCTCTCCGTTTCCAAGTTGGACTGGGCAGTAGGTGAAGCTGAGATAATTTGGATAGTGTAAACCTTTTACAATACAAAATTGCATTTGGATAGCGCCTTTTACGTCGGGAGGATGTCCCAAGGCATTGGTTGGCCTCTTTAAATATCAAGCTTGTAGATGAGGTAACACTTAGTTGGAAAAAATCTTAATGTCCTTCATTTTTGAGCTCAGGTTAATTAACAATACCCATACTGCCAGGAGTTTGTATATTTTTTTTATTGACATTAGTAATACAATATAAACATGCTAAATAAATACAACTTTACTTCAAGTAAATCTTTTATAATATTAGCCTTGTCTCGCTTCTAGTATCTGAATCAGCATGACAGAATAACTAATTCAGCTTACAAGTTCCTACGATTGGATCTACTGTACAAGGATACACCCCCTGTGGTATAACAATTAAATCCACTGAGTGGAAACCATGGGATTTGTTGAAGCCTGTATTTAGTGGTATTTGTTTCTTCAACCACTGCATATTTGAGCTTAGACAAATTGCACTTGTAGAGCACCACTGACACAGAATAGTAGCTCGGAGCACTGCACAGTAAGTGTTGGTTTTGATCCAAAATATTTTGGGGGAAGTGATAAAGTTATGTAAATTATTCATTTAGAATTACTCTATGAAATTGAAAGCGCTGATACTTAAGCAGCATTTTTATAAGCGCACCGAGACATGGCCCTATTGAAGGGCACTATATAAATTCAAGTTGTTTATATGATGGGGAATGAATAATGAAAATAGGGAATAGAAAATGCTCTGGCTTTTTTTAGTGCCCTATCTGTTCTGGTGCAATATTGGGCACCAAATAAAAGAAACCATTTCCAAGTACCAGCATTAAATTCCTCAAATAAAATTAGAAAAATCTAGAACTTGAAACTACAACGGTATGCAAGCGTTTGACGAGAGTTTTACGAGAGCGATTATTCCAGAGGGATGCGGGGAGTGGAGAAGAATCATTCCTGAATCTGTTGCTCTCTCTGTGCCAGTTCCTGTTGCCGTATTGTCTCTTGTGCTTCCCGTTGCATTTTCTCCAACTTCTCCAGAGTCACGGATTTAAGTGGCAGCAGCTTTGGTTTGCAGAGCACCATGGTGGGAGTGTCCTCAAAGGATAGCTGCCCTAGAGTGAGATATTTTTGATTTTATTACCATATAACATTTGTACTTATTTCCCTCCCTTGAAGGTGGTCACATCAAGCTGGGACAAATCATTTTAGTTTCTTTTTTTTTTCGGTTTCCGGTAGCATCTATTCTCTAATCGTTCATTGTACACTGATATCTGACTGTAAAATTATTCTTTATTTTAGCAGTAGGAAACTATTGGGTATGGGCTTATGCAAAAGCAACATAGCAATGAATTTTAAGTTACAGATATCAGCAAGAAGCCAGAACCCAGCAGATATTGCTGAAAAATAGAAATGGTCAAAACCACAGTTAATATTTGCGATCTAGAGCCATTTAATGTCCAATATTAAAATTAGCTGTATTTTCCTGATAGTGCAGCCCACAGTGTCAATTTTTCATGGTCCATACTAGTTATATGATAATCCTTACATTTGATATTGTGCCTTATCACGTCTTTGAGACGTCTCAAAGCGCTTCATAGAATATGCTGTGAAGTGAATTGATTGTATATTTTGTGGGCGAAACGTAGCAGCCAATTGTGCACAGCAGTGTCCCACAAACAGTCATGGATTGAGTGACCATATTAATATAATTTTTGAAGTGATTATTACCCCCTGAAAAGCGATCTGCCAATCGACTAACAATCGGGTTCCTACTTACTGCTGGGTAACCAGAGGCATGGGGAGTAAGGAAACTTGCCCAAAGTTTTGCATTGCCTGGGAATCGAACCCAGGTCTCTCACTTGCGAGATGTTAATCTCTGATTGACATTGCTAATTTGTCTCAAATTGTCAATAGTTGTGTGGGCCTGTAGCCACTAGGAAATTAGATTGAGACTGTCAAAATGTAATTTACCAAGAAAGCTTTACACCCAACAAGAGCCTTTAATCCCATCACCGAACGGGTAAATGTGCTAACTCTTATTTTACAAGTATTTTCTAAACCTTCACTTAAATAAATGACATAACGGGACTGATGAATCATCGCAGTGTTTTGACATTCTATTGAAAATATCTGCATTGCACCACAAAAACAATTTATTAAATGTCCTTGTTTATAGTGCGTTTTCACGCACGTCTTTGCTTCTGGACACTATCCAACAGCTTAAGAAAATCCTTTGGATAGCAGCTGTCTCGCATATGGTCATTCCTGCAGGTTTAATGCCCTCCATCTGAATTTGTAGATTTAACTTCAGTACTGGGAAACTAATTTTTTTTTAATAAGACCACGTACTGCAGTTTATATTTTGTGGATTGATCCTGCTGTTTGATATAACAACTTACACTTTATACAGCGCCCTTCACGCGGGGAAGCATCTCGAAGCGCTAGATACCCATCTAGCTGTTAATAATAATACTTGTGTTTGATTTAGTGCATTTATCACGTCGTTGAGACTTCTCAAAGAATATACTGTGAAGTGAATTGACTGTATTTTACGGGCAAAACGCAGCAGCCCATTGCGCACAGGAGCGTCCGCACAAACAGTTGTGGATTGAGTGACCACATTTTTTTTTGAGGGATTATTACTCCCGGAAAGCGATCCACCAATCGACTAACAACCGGTCCCTACTGATCCCGGGTCCTCTCGCTTGCAAGGCGAGTGCTCTGATCAATCCACTATGGGCAACTTTCAATGTACTTGAAATTTGTATGAGAGGATACAATCCTGAACAGTCCATTTAACGGCGCAGAAATGTTTCACGTTCAAACAATCTGGTCTCCTTCACTTTTTAAAAAAAAAAAATCCCTTTCAGTTCCTGAACCTAAAAAGACAGCAAAACGGTACATTTAATGCAAAGTAGACGCAAGATAATAATACGTAGCTTCAATTTAGAATGGACAACTGCTGGTCAACAAGTTACACAGAAAGCAAACCTTGTTTAGGAAGGACCTCTCGAAACATGGACTTTACCTCTGGCATATTTACCGGTCACCAACAGAATAGCCGTTCAACCACCTGTGAGCAAAACAGTTTTGTTAGAAATGGTAAATCTTTTTGAGCTTTTGTGGAAGAATTGATAACGTTTTGTAGATATCCCGACACGGCTTCAGATGAAATGCAATGGGGATTAGTATTGGGACGTTCCATTTAAAGCGGCCGTCGTACTCCCCACCGAAGATCATTTCGTGCACTTGACAGGAAAGTTTTCTTCACCGAAACGTCGTTTTTTTTAAAAGAAAATGAGAACAGGAAATGCAAAGTCTTAATGTAGACGTGGAAATCCCAGAGGTGGATTGTTGGAATGGAAAGCGCCCACTCTCGCTCTCTCGCTCCTCTCTCCCTCCCTGGAGGGACGCCTCCTGCTCACCTAATTCCAGAGAGTATGAGGCGCAGGTTGGCAAGAGCCAAGGCTTGGGAGTGGGGGGGGGGGGGACCCCAAAGTGTGCGATGGGGTAACTGCTAGAACGTAACCAGCTAAAGTTTGCCATTGATATCCCTGTCCGTCCGGCCAGGACCACCCTCCCCGTTGGGGGCTTTGGCTCACAGGGTTACCGGGAGCAGAGTTTCCTTCCGAGTACTGTGAAACAATAGTTGTTATTATTTATTATTATTGTTTCACCGGCAAAACGGGTCAATTCACTCGACAAGTCTGTCCTCCGAAGCACTTAGAGACGTTTTGACGACGTAAGGGGCGCTGTATCACACACAAGGATTGTTATTGTATGTAAACCGCCCCTTCTCTCCCCAATTGTTGTTGTTATTACTGACTGGAAATACAGCAGCGCCGGACGGCACTGCCACAGTCCATCAGCATTCCTGACAGAGAAGGGGGTACTGGGGTGGGGGTTACTGGGGGGGTAGTCCGGGGGGGTTTACTGGGGGTACTCAGGGGGGTTTACTAGGGGTACTCGGGGGGGGTTTACTGGGGGGATAGTTCGGGGGGGTTTACTGGGGGTGCTCGGCGGGGTACTCGGGGGGCGGGGGGTGGGGTTGCTTGGGGGGAGGGTTACTGGGGGTACTCGGGGGGGGGGGGGGGGGGTTACTGGGGTACTCGGGGGGGGGGGGGGGGGGGTTACTGGGGGTACTCGGGGGGGGGGGGGTAGTCCGGGGGGGGGGTTGTGGGGGGGGGTTACTGGGGGGGTAGTGAGGGGGGTTACTGGGGGGGTAGTGGGGGGGGGTTACTGGGGGGGTAGTGGGGGGGGGGGTTACTGGGGGGGTAGTGGGGGGGGGTTACTGGGGGTAGTGAGGGGGGGTTACTGGGGGGTAGTGGGGGGGGGGGTACGGGGGGTAGTGGGGGGGGGTTACTGGGGGGTAGTGAGGGGGGGTTACTGGGGGGGTAGTGGGGGGGGGGGGTTACTGGGGGGGTAGTGGGGGGGGGGGGGGTATTACTGGGGGT